TTTTAGTAAGAGTAAGATTTCCACAGCACTGACAACACAATAGGGTCATATATGACATGTGCCGAAGATTAGAGGTGTTACAAGAAGAGAGTAACCAATACCAAAAAGAAGGAGGGGAGATTTATAAGGATGACAGATGTTTGATAGGTAAGAAAGAGCAAACAACACCAGAGCACTCGCCAACCACCCACTATCTAAGGATAGATAATGACCAAATGGTGTCAAGATACGAGTATATACACGTATATGTGAGGTATCGAGGTGAAATCAGGCCTTCGTAAAAATAATGAAATCGAGGAAAATGTCATTTTTCCATCAGTTTAGCAATTTTTATCAAAATCTTGTTTTTTGGCTAAACACCTTTTATGTTCATATGAAAACACATTTCCATATACATTTTACTAAGAAAACCCTTGTTTAAAGACAAAATGGGTAATTTTCAGTTTTCAAGGACTCTTAAAGTATTTAATTAACCAAACTTTGGCGTCCATTTTCTTGCTAATTTTACTTCTGAAACCAGACGACCTCACCTCCTTCCATCGCAAATATCTCGACTTCTATTCAAGATAAATGGATATATTTTTTATCGAAAGCAAGGCAACTGAACAACCTTTAAGATGACACCAATAACTCCACATGTCCAAAAATTGACGAACACCTGATTCCGCTGCGTTGTGACACATATGTTGAGGTTTAAATTTTAAATATATAGCCATAGAGAGAGAGTTGTAATGTTTCTAGGAAAACTTAACTTAGGTTTTTATTACATTTTCATTCTTGGATGAATGGGAACACTTGCTCGTATGTGAGAAGGTCGTAGGCATTAGAAAGGTCGTCCTAAGCTGTAGAGGACACAATGGAATTTTACGTTGGGCTCTTTGTTCTTTGGGGTTTGGGGTTGTTTTTGTTTGGGGGGGGTGGTTGGGGGGTTGTTTCTTGTTGTTGTTTTTTTGGTGGGGGATATGTTGTTTTTCTTGAGTTCTCTCTTTGTTTTTAAATTGAATAGCTATATCTGAAGTAGACAACATTCTGTGTGCATTACAAAGGAATGTATATACATATAGATATATATATATTATATATCTTTGCTTATCCTTAGGTTACTTTGAAAGAAACGGGGTGAATGTATGGGCAAGCAACCCTCACTCTCACAGGACAGAGGAGGACTCAGTCATGAATGGACAGGTCATCATCGATGCCAAGGTAAGGATTTTCTGAAGGCATCTCCGGAGATAAAATGTTTGCTGTCAACATCTTTATAAACGTAGATGAGCTTTATACTCTATACCGTTCGGTTATAATAAAAATTCCCAGTTTGGGGGAGGGGGGAGGGGTTGTTTTACATATTGTATTTGTTTTGTTGGGATTTTGTTGTTGTTGTTGTTATTTTGGGTTTTTTGGAGTTGGGGTGGGTAAAAAAAACATGCCTTATTTATTTTTATTTTTTAACACAATTCAAGCTCGGATACGAGATAATAAGATAAACATTTTGTAAGTAAGTAGAAACATCCCGTGCGCTCGTTCAAGCTCTCTGTCTTCTTACTGTCTCCCTCTTTTTTTTGTTCTCTTCC